TCCTAAATCATTAAAAAAGAAAAACAAAATAACATTATGGGACATTAGCTTTATTTACGATGCTCTTCATTGTCACGTCTGCAAATATTTCCCAACTTTACCTCTGGTTTGGCCTGAATCAGAGGAGGATGTGTGCTCCAAGAAGTCTCAGTGTTCTGCACATGCCTGATGTGCGTTTGTAGGAGAATATGAAATTTAACAAATTCTTCAGAGCATAGTGTGGTCATATATAATGCACACATTTCTCTGATGTGACTGTGCAAGAGCTACCCCTCCCTGAGGACATTATTACGTGCAGAATCATACAAAACTCACCAGGGAGGTTTGCCTTCCTTGGTGAGGACACCTTGCTCTGAATGAACCATGAATTCATGCATTAGCAAAGTGAAGTCTCGTCCTGCGTGCACGCAGTCACAGACATATCAGGCTAGGCAGAGAGAAAATATCGAAAAACAAGTCTTCACAGCATCAAAAATAAAATCAAGGGCACGGACATACAAAATGAACTGTACATCTGAGACATCTGTGTCAAATATCATCATCTATGTGAAATGTAAATATTGTACCGAAAGGTTTCATGGGCCGAGATATTAAAATATTCTGCACTTGTCATGCACCTTGGCAGCAGAAGAAGTGAAAAGGATTGGAGGGTAAGGTGCAGTCAGAGATGTCGGGTGTTGTAGATTAAACGGACTTAGGAAAAAAGGTGCACCAGACAGCTATTGCCACAGAGGATGATTCAGGAAAAAGACCAGATCTCTGCTGGATCTTATAGTGAATTTACAAAGTCAAGGGAGTGTGAAAACATTCTCTCAAGAAGGTGCAAATTGAAGCAAAGACCCCTGACAGTAGGGCTGTGCGATATGACCAAAATCTCATATCCCGATAATAAGACATCTATCGTCCGATAACGATATAAATCACAAAAATGTAACATTTTCTGTAAATTCTGTGAATCTCGGGGAGCTTGTCTTGCGTGAAGTGTTTCCAGCTGCGCATCATGTAGCTGGAGTCGAGTGTTTTAACCGATGCATGAAACGATACATTTTTAGACATAAGTTTTT